ACTAAAATATATGTTAGCTTCAGCTTTAGCAATCCTTAATATAGCGTAAACGCAATGGCAAAATTTGATGCAAACCAAAAAAAAGGTTACTGAGAAGTTTTTATTGAAGCTTTGAAGAAAAGCTGCGCTATTTACCTGAAGTATTTTGTTGTAGTAATTCCAATTTTTTAGTAAATATGCAATTACTAAACGTTATTAACATTTATTTTCCACGAATTTCTCCCTTCATTTTCCTTATGTAAGATATTTAAATAGTTTTAAAAAAAGTCGCCTTATTCTTTCAAATTTTGAATAGGTAAATAAATTGAGCACAGAAAAAAAAATATGAGCCAGTTTGACTCTTTACACTAATTGTTTTTTTTTCAGGATTCAATTGGGGAGTTGAATGTTCTAAGTCAAGTAAGCCTGTACTATCTATGTGGCAGGTACGGGGTGTTTAGGGCGTAATAACATGATCTAACCGATCTTTGTTCTCAGACTCTTATAATCTTTATGGCTTATGAGCTCGTTCCTGTGCGAGTATAAATAAGTGAGCCTAAAGTTTCAGTCCCAGACTTGATTGCAGATCCTTTGCAGAGCATCAAAAAATCCTTTCGTCCAGCAAATTCTTTCAAGCAGACATTTGCAATACTACACCAACGTCTACCAATTCGATTCGATTATTGAAACACGAATAGCTCCAATACTTACAAAAACATGAATACTGGCAACAGTAGCACGAATAACAATTTTTTCACTGCCATTGTAAGGTATGTTATTTGTCGACGTTTATTTTATAACAGATACTTAATTGTTCAGTTTCTAGCAATAGGTCTACTATACAGCAAAACAATTTCGAAGAAATACGCCAATTAACAGCGGTATGTGAAAGCAATTCCAAGCGTAAAACTGTTCATTTCTTAACTTTTTCTAGATACTTCAAGATTTGGATTGTTCACTCCGTATAGGGAGTTTCTTGCAGGTAAAGAAGACAAGCGACTATTCCATTTAGGTCGTAAAAGGTTTTGGCTTATATCCTGCTCCTGACCGATGCGCATGCACACACTTTAACAGGATCCCACTTCAATATTCTCCTACTTGTTTCGAAAACATATATCGAGAGGTACAGCAAAAGCGTCAAGACCAGGACTATTCTCCTATTTTGTTCAGAAGATTTTTGTGGACGCTGCTGACAAGGGTATGTGCAGTAGTTAGATGTTAGCTACTTTTGGCTATTTTTCCTAGATGTACCAACAAAACAAATGGACTCAGTTAACATTAAAGCGGAAACACGAGTACACCAGGTATTCCAATCACATAGACTACGAACCTATCTCTAGTTAGTTTTGTTCCTTTTTTGAATATTACGGCATTATAATGGAGTTTACAGACTTTGTAAAGACTGTTCTCAAAGGAAAAAATGTGGATGACAATGTACTGTTCAAACTGATTAAAACATTGCTGTGAGTGAAAATGTCTAAAAGGGCAGACACATCCATGAAATATTCAATATTTTCGCTTGTGAAATTTCACACAATGTACATTCCTAGAAAATATTATCTTTTCAGAAAAGATTTTCGAAGAGATGTTAGAGGAGCGCAAGCAGTGTACAATACTTTGACGATTAAAGAAAAGATGACGTGAGAATTTCAAATAACTAAAAGCAATATCTAAAATTACAAACATTTATCTGCCGTTTTGTTTATGTTAGACATTAGTTTTTGTTAGCTCCTAAGCCTTTAAAGGGCGTATTTCTTTTCTTTTCAGAGTCTTTGAAGATTCGGATCAATCTGACGAAGAAGATTCGGATCAATCTGACAAAGAAGATTCGGATCAATCTGACGAAGAAGATTCGGATCAATCTGACGAGGAAGAATCAGCAACCTGATGAAGTAAATTTCAGCATAAACCGTGGAATAAACAGGCTTACGTTTCTGTAGGTGATACAGATGTAGGTTTAGTTGTTCCTAACATATGGTAGATTGTTCGATAAATCATTTGCTTTTGATGCCTATAATGGAGAGGGAAAAGTGATCAAACTTTCTAAGGAAAAAAAGCGGAAGGAATTGTAATTGTTGCGCTGGTTCATTTCTGAAGAGGTTATTAAGGTTTTCCGCGATTAATCACCATCACTTGGATCCAATCTGCAAATTTAATCAAAACGTCTCTACACATCTTCTTATTAGTTTCTAGAATCATAAAGAAAATTGGGACAGATTTCGTGGTACTATCAACTTTATAGCGCTGTTTTTGTACTTTCCTCAAGTGAATTTATCTGGAAAGAGCGAAAGGCATCCATTTTTAAAAATGTAGAATTATTACTCTATAAAAATAGCTTTTCGTTTTGCATAAGAAGTGAAGTAGTTCAGCTGACATCATTGATTTACTGCAATTCTGAAAGGCTTTCTTTTTGCTTCTAAATCCGATACTATGTGCACTTCAACTTTATTACAACATTTTCTTCTTTTCTAGAGTGATAATTAAGCCTTAACGCTACTAATACCTAGC